ATATTTTAGTTTATCTTATTGTTCACTATACCGTGTATATTTTAGTTTAGGTTATTGTATATTATACCGTGTATATTTTAGTTTAACTTATTGTTCACTATACCGTGTATATTTTAGTTTAGGTTATTGTATATTATACCGTGTATATTTTAGTTTAACTTATTGTTCACTATACCGTGTATATTTTAGTTTAGGTTATTGTATATTATACCGTGTATATTTTAGTTTAATTTATTGTTTACTATACCGTGTATATTTTAGTTTAATTTATTGTTTACTATACCGTGTATATTTTAGTTTAGTTTATTGTTTACTATACCGTGTATATTTTAGTTTAGGTTATTGTATATTTTAGTTTAATTTATTGTTTACTATACCGTGTATATTTTAGTTTAATTTATTGTTTACTATACCGTGTATATTTTAGTTTAATTTATTGTTTACTATACCGTGTATATTTTAGTTTAATTTATTGTTTACTATACCGTGTATATTTTAGTTTAGTTATTGTTTACTATAACGTGTACATTTTAGTTTAACTTATTGTTTACTATAACGTGTATATTTTAGTTTAACTTATTGTTTACTGTACCGTGTATATTTTAGTTTAATTTATTGTTTACTGTACCGTGTATATTTTAGTTTAATTTATTGTTTACTATACCGTGTATATTTTAGTTTAATTTATTGTTTACTATACCGTGTATATTTTAGTTTAATTTCTTGTTTACTGTACCATGTATATTTTAGTTCAGGGAATTGTTTACTATACCGTGTATATTTCAGTTTACTTGATTGTTTACTACACTGTTTATATTTTGGTCCTGGAAACTGGAAGCTGCACTGTTTATTTAACTATGTATGAAATGCTAGTCCTCTAAATATGTATCTAATTTTTATCTTTAGAAGTGGCTCAGCTTTGGCTCTTTTGTATGGAAATAAAGCAACAATGGAACAACACCACTTTAATCATGCTGTTATGATTTTATCCAGTGAAGTAAGGAGTTTTTAACTGAACTATAATAAAAAATAATGTATATTAAATTTTACATATACCCAACAAATGTTAAATGTTGCTATAGTATATTTATTATATTAAATATTATTTTACCCTCAAAACTATGTGTTGCTGTGGTAACTACTTATCGTAGTAGAATCATTTTCAAGTAAAAACTTTACCTTTTTATCGTACATTAAGAGCAGCCATAAATCTTCGTTTTGAGATTGAATTATTGTGCTCTGTCAGAAATAATTTGTTCTAATTCATGATTTTGTTTATAAACTATACAAACTATTTGTAATACGAATGTTACGAGTTTCAAGTTATCCTTTATTACAACCAGAGAACTTAATAACACATTTAAATATTTACATTGAAAGCACCAGATTTATTGAAACTTATTTCTTCTTGTGTTTTATTTGTGAAAGGGCCACAACATCTTCGAAACTTTAAGTTCTGACGAGTACAGCAGAGTTGTGAATATTCTGAAAAACGCCATCCTTGCTACTGATCTTTCTACATATTTTCAGTAAGACTAGTTTCAAATGTGATATAGAGAAACTTTAGAAAACTTTCACTAGAAATAAACCTTATTCTTTAGTAGAGGTTCTCTTTAATTCGTATAGAAATGACATGTGGAACTAGTGTAAGTTGAACCATTGTTAGACCCAGACACATTTGTAGAGATATTTCACAATTTTGGTTAAATCTCAAGTAGTTTGTAAGAAGTTATTCCCTCCCCCTCATACAAAGTATATTTGTTTGTTTGATTATTGTTAAACGCAAAGCTCACAATGGGCTATCTGTGCTTTGCCCAAAACCCGATTTTAATCAGACTTACTATTTAGCCACATACAAACTAGTAAATATACAGGGTTTTGGTAAAAAAATAATGTCTCGACAATATATAATAATTCATATTGTACTAGTTTTCCATACACCTATATAACACTGGTTACTCGTGGAACATCAACACTATACAATACTGTACTAGTTTTTCATACACCTATATAACACTGGTTACTTGTGGAACAACAACACTATACAATACAGTACTAGTTTTTCATACACCTATATAACACTGTTTACTCATAGAACAACAACACTATACAATACTGTACTAGTTTTTCATACACCTATATAACACTGGTTACTCGTAGAACAACAACACTATACAATACTGTACTAGTTTTTCATACACCTATATAACACTGGTTACTCATAGAACAACAACACTATACATTACTGTACTAGTTTTTCATACATCTATATAACACTGGTTACCCGTAGAACATCAACACCATACAATACAGTACTAGTTTTTCATACACCTATATAACACTGGTTACCCGTAGAACATCAACACTATACAATACTGTACTAGTTTTTCATACATCTATATAACATTGGTTACTCGTAGAACAACAACACTATACAATACTGTACTAGTTTTTCATACACCTATATAACACTGGTTACTCGTAGAACAACAACACTATACAATACTGTACTAGTTTTTCATACATCTATATAACATTGGTTACCCGTGGAACAACAACACTATACAATACTGTACTAGTTTTTCATACATCTATATAACGCTGGTTACTCGTAGAACAACAACACTATACAATACTGTACTAGTTTTTCATACACCTATATAACACTGGTTACTCGTGGAACATCAACACTATACAATACAGTACTAGTTTTTCATACACCTATATAACACTGGTTACTCGTGGAACATCAACACTATACAATACTGTACTAGTTTTTCATACATCTATATAACGCTGGTTACTCGTGGAACATCAACACTATACAATACAGTACTAGTTTTTCATACACCTATATAACACTGGTTACTCGTGGAACAACAACACCATACAATACAGTACTAGTTTTTCATACACCTATATAACACTGGTTACTCGTAGAACAACAACACT